GAGACGTCGCAAAGCGTTTCACAGGATACACTGTATAGTAGATTGACTGTGTATTTTGTGGGCGATTTGAGACATTTCGATAATGTGTTATGGCATTATAACAAATGCAAGAATTATTATTATTTATTATATTATTATTATGCAAGTTTAGATACTGCATCTATTTAAAAATGGGCATAAATAATGTTTCGATAGCAAATAGATTATATTGTGTACAATTATTACAATTTGTTATTATGAACAGCCCATTCGCAGAGTTACTTGCACCAGTGATATAGCGTGGTGGGATTCATGTCCATGCCAGGAATCAAAATAATAATAATTCTTGCATTTGTTAGAATGCTTTAACACATTGTCAGAATGTTTCAAATAGCTTCACAGGAATTTACTATAAAGTGCTGTGAATGCATATTTGTATACGAATGCAGCAGCCAATTTAGTACAACAATGCCACGCAAACTGCTATGGAGTGAATGGCCAATTTTTATTTGGAAGATTGTTGGTCAGGACACTGGGAGAAACACCCAACTCTCTTTCTGAATAATACCATGAGATCAATATCCACCTGTTTTTTTTTGAACATCATGCATAAAAGAATCCAAACCAAACTGAGAGTGTATGCATCCCACCTACATATGGAAATTCCTATATTTGAATGCAATATCCAATCTCCGTGGGATGCACTTTGCTCATCTAATTCCAGAAAGTATTAGATACAAGTTGACAAGAGCCAAGCCAGAGGATGCAATGAGGTATTCCCGGAGTCAAACCAGATAAAAACTGCATAGCTGGCCATTGAAAGCACTGCTTGTCAACAGGACTTCAGTTGAGCTTCTCCTCCGACAGACAACCGTCTGATATTGTACCATTCCCCAGACATGTATTGTGGTGTCGGCCTAAAGAAAGAAGTCAAAGTTCCAACATGGAGCTTGAACCCACAATCTGCATACCCAGAGAATGGAGGGGATCAACTAAGCCAAACTAACATTACACAGAACTGGTGATGACCAAGCAATCGTGGGCCTCCAATAATAATAATATTAATCTCAGGATCTTGGTTTCAAAAGTGAACCTGGACCATTTTGAAAATAATAATAATCTTTGCATTTGACATAGAGCCTCATCACGTCATTGAGACATCTCAAAACACTTCACAAAATATACTATAAAGTGAATTGACTGCATATTTTGTGGGTGAAAGGTGGCAGACAATTGTGCACAGCAGTGTCCCACAAACAGTCGTCGATTGAGTGACTAAATTATTATTATTTATTTATTTTTTAAAGGGATTATTACCCCCAAAAAAGCAATAGACTAACAACAGGGTTCCTACTTACTGCTGGGTAAACAGAGGCGTGTGGAATAAGGAAACATCTAAGGTTTTGCCCTTCCCTGGAACAAACCTGGGTCCTCCTATTTGAGAGTCAAGGGCACTAACACTATTCCCGATCAAATATTAATCAGAAACATTTGGTTCTAAGAAAAATTCTCTGTGAAGATAGTCAGTTTTTTAATCAATAGTGACTACAATGGTAAGTTTAATCATGTATGAAATGTAATTGCCATGTTTAGTCTAATCCTAGAATCATAGAATGGGCACAGTTCAGAAGAAGACAATTTGGTCCATCATGTAATGCTGGTGTTCATTCCACCATTGAAGCTAACTACTCTAATCCTATTTGTCTGCTCTTTATCCATATTCTTTAATATTTTTCCTCAGTTATTTATCCAATTCTAATATGCAGGAAATGATTAAAAGTTGCAGGAGAATAGAAATGTGAAGGATCATGGTTTTAATTCATTCTCTTCAGAAGCTGAGTGAAGGGCTGAATCCCATAGTAACGAACACCACCAAGGTTGAAAAGAGTAGCAGAGACAAGTGACAAGTCAAGAGGTGGTGAAGTGATGCAAACTTTGGCTTTAAAAGCTCAATTCATTTTGTACATGATTAAACCTACATAGTCAAGCACAAGAAAAAAGGTTCCAGAGGAGTGAGAGAAAAGAAGCCAAAGGTGAAGGAAGGATCGCCTATTCAATATGTTTTCTTGTATCCTGTCCAAGAGTACATCAGAGATGTTAGATGGGGTTCCCCAAATATGGGAGTAGTATTGAAGGCTTAGATGAACTTGGGCTTTGTGAAGAAGCAAGAGTCAGTGATGGATAAAGAAATGCTTAACACAAAGGAGGAAACTGAGCTACTCGGAAGCTGTGAGAATGTAATTTGAGTTCAGATGAAATAGTGAGGTTCAGAATGTCAATAGAGAAATAAAGATGAAAAGAATGGTAAGAGGTGATAAGAATGGGTATTGATTAGACATACAAGTGACATACACGTAAGTGACACCAACAAACTGTGTCTTTCAATGAATTAACAGAAAGAAGTTATGAGTACCTTTCCTCTCCCACTAAATGCATAGAGAAGAACAAGGAGAGTAAGGTTTAGTAACTTGCACAGTGAGAGGAGTGAAACTTGTGTGCAACCGGAAGGAAGTTGATACATGTAGATTGGAATTACCGACAAAAGAGTAGAAATGGTTGGATGTTGAATGGACGAGGTCACTGATGTAGAGAGAGTGTAGGAGTAGGAGAGAGAACAGAGCCTTGGGGAACCCCCGATTTGACTAAAAATGAATCAGAAGATGCATTGTCAAGTACAGCACAGACAGAGCGACTTGAGATGAAATTAGATAGCCAAGAGCATGGCTTTGGTGGAAGACTATGAAAGATGTCTTATTTAAAAGTGCACAGTGCCAGACTGTATCAAGGGCTTTGGAGATGGACAAAGTGATGATAAATGAGTCACCAAAGTGTTCAAGAGAAGAGTTCTAGAGGCACTGGCAAAACACCTATGCCATAAACTATACTAGTGATCAGGCAGCTTTCATTGTGCTGAATAATTTTGAGCGGTTCTTTTTCTCACCGATTTTCTCCTCTCTTCAGGAGAAAAAGTAGTATGTTTGACTCCATCTTCCTTCCACTAGGAAATAGTTCCAAATGAAGCCAGTCAACTTCATCCAGTGAACCTCCAAGAGCTTTTAAGTGAACATTTGTGAGTAGAAGCCAAATTGATTCACACTGCCTGGCTTTACACTTAAACAGTGTCATTTGATGTCCTGATGATAATAGTGGTCTCCCAACTGAGCGTGAATCACTTCCCAATCACTCTGAAAAGCATTATAATAATAATAATAATCCTTGCATTTGATATAGCGCTTTTCACGTTGGGAGGACGTCCCAAAGCGCTTCAGAGAACACACTGTAAAGTGAATTGACTGTATACTTGTGGGCGAACGCGGCAGCCAATTGCACACAGCAATGTCCCACAAACAGTCGTAGATTGAAAATGACCAATTTATTATTGTTTTTGGTTTTGGAGGGATTATTATTAGGTGTGTGGAGTAAGGAAACTTGCCCAAGGTTTCGCCCTGCCTGAAATTCAACTCAGGCCCCTCGCTTGCAAAGCGAGTGCTCTAACCACTGAGCTACAGGACTCCACGCATTGTACAAACTTGGAATGAGTAAAATCTATCCATTAAGATACAGTGGAGCCCCGTAGCTCAGGGTTAGAGCAGTCGCCTCACAAGCGACACACCTGGGTTCAATTCCCAGCAGGGCAAAATGTTGGGCAAGTTTCCTTACTCCACACGACTCTGTTCACCTTACGAGGTAAGCAGGAAACTGGTTGTTAGTCAATTGGTGGATCACTTTTCCAGGGGTAATAATTCGTTCAAAAAAAATAATAAATTAGTCACTTCAATCCACGATTGTTTGTGGGACACTGTTGTGCGCTATTGGCTGCCGGGTTTCACCATCAATTAACTTTACAGTACATTCTGTGAAGCGCTTTGAGATGTCTCAAAGACATGATAAGGCGATATATCAAATGCAAGGATTATTATTATTATTAAGATAGGCAGCTATGTAATCAAAACTGACTAAAACTTTAATCATACATGAAATGAGTTTGGCACTTTTAGTCTAACACTCAGGAAAGAGTGATTGAAGAAAAAAACATGATGGCCTATGGCAAATGTGATAAATATGCCATGTTTATTGTACACAGTATATCCAAATGCAGGGAGATCAGCATCCGATGTCTTTGAGAAAATGATAAATTATTAACCTTAAATGTAAATGCATTCTCCACAACTTTGAATTAGTGAGTTCCCAACTTTGATATAAAATCAGTTCAACTATATGTTATCAAAAGACATTGCTGTTCAGGAATAAATTTCAGAAATTGCAACACACAATTTAAAGAATAATTTCTACTTATTTCAGATTATTTTGGATTTTGAGATGATTATTTAAAAACCATAGAGCACTTATTTTAAAATTCTTACTTACAGTTTCACATTCTCAGAGAAACATTTGCAAAGATGCCTCATTGCTTTCAAAATCATGTATTTCATTATTTTATGTGAGGATGTGTAGTATCCTCACATGAAAGATATGTACAAACAAATATAAAATCTCTTTCATCTACCATCATCTCCTGAGCTTGATTTAGTCAGGCATTCCTCTCAAATTAAATATTGCTACTGGCGTCAGTAAGAAATGCTTCTGAGATAGTATTACAACAACAAAATTACATTTGTATAGTTCCTTTCACGTCGGTAGGACATCCCAAGGCGCTGGACAAAGTTACGGACCCGAGCTGAGGTTCGGGGTGGGGGAGGAGGGAGGACTGGTGGGGGGAAACAGAGAGATCGAAAGCATGGTTGAAGAGGAGGATCTTGAGGTGGGTTTTGAAGGTGGCGAGGGAGGGTTGAGATGGAGGAACTGCGGGATGGAGTTCCAGAGGGTGGGTGCAGAGTGGCGGATTCACAAGTTTGTTCTGTTTCTGTGGTTTACGCGTTATAAAGGTAAAGCAACTGTTCAGAGCAGTTAGTAAGTTCAACAAACTACTCACAGCCATCAGTTCAGAAACCATACTTCAAATGAATTTTCCTCACTTCAATATTCACAAACAAGAGATTAAATATGAACAGACAAATTACCTTCTGTGCCTTGCGTATTTGCCACTAACATGACCTGTGCCATCACAACCAGGAGTTGGACAACTGAAGAAAAAGAGAAAAGCTGGGTTGTGACAATTAGCTTTGATAACGGTGTGCATGTTTGTGTGAATGTGTGCATGCTTTTGCATGTGTGGAGTGGGAGAGACTGTGAGAAGGATAGGAAGAACAGAATGCTGGATGCATTTTTATTAGCAAGTCTCAGGGGAATTAATTTCTTCAGTCCAGCCAAGCATGAGCCCACCACCAATGCAAGTGACAATGTGTTTTACCCATTAAAAGGAATACAGTTTCAAAATTGCTATTGTACTGAAATTTTCTGCAATGAGCACTCACCTGAACAGTTCTTGGATTACTGGTTCTATGGGGACTGGGGAGAAATGAAAACAACATGGATTTATCATCTCTTATAATTACCTTTTTCTTCATATATAACAGCCAATAAGTTCCCAATGAACACTACAGTCAGGATGAGACACTCAAAGAGGTTGTGGTGCATGAAGGTCACCCTGAGTAGCGGTTTGAGTGATTTACTGAACCAATAGACTTACCTCGGATACCTTTGGAGCGTGTTCGGTGTCGTTTCTGGTCTGCATCCGCCTCCATCTGCAAAGAGATTAGCAGGCGTTCAGTGTCCTTATCCCGCACACGCAGACCTTCACCACACAGCATGTCAAATTATGTGTCACAGGATTTATTAACTCCACTCTTCCTCCTCTCTAATATATATATTTGATGCAGGAAACCAATACGTTTCTAACTCAAACGTTCTCCTTTTATGAATACAATAATAATTTTGCAGCTTAGAACAGAATGAACAAAATAATTGGGTAAACATATTTTGGGAACTGCTGTGTTTTGTGCACTCCACGCAGCACATATAAGGATGTGGGTTAAGTTCTGCTGGGAAGAAGAAACTTGCATATTATAGCAGTCTTTATAAATTATGATCAAATGCTCCAAAGTGATTCACAGTAATTATTATTAAATACAATTGCCTTTTTTGTAGGCAAACGTGGCAACTTTTTCATGCACAAAAAGATCCTGATAACAGGTGAAGTGAGTAACTGATTTTATCAGGAGGAATGCTAGGCAAGACAAAGGGAAAATTCTCCCTTTTGTTTTGGAATTGTGTCAGGGAATTTTCAACATCGAAATATTTTCCATTCGGTAAATTTCACAAATTTCTCCCCATCTGCTTAACAACAGTAGTTTTCAAGTGTGGCAAATTAAAAAGGCATTCTAAAATAAATCATTATAAACACAATGAGTGGACACGGTTTTAGACAAAATTGTAATTGCACACTGAGGCATTAAGAAATTTGAGGATTAACCAGATTTTTGCTGAATTCCTTTTGGCACATTTGGGTCTCACAGTTCCACTGGTCATTAACAGAACCAACCTTGGCAGTCTGCCCTTATTATGGACCTTCCCCAGCAAGATTGGTAACTTTAATGAGCTGTGGAATTTCACCTCTAGTCGTCCTCACAGTAGAGAAACAATCAAAAGGATCCAGATAAGAGATGCAGCTAAAGTACTTAATAGTCAAATCTTTTTAAGATGATGGAAGGGGATAATTTTTGTATTAATGAGGTAACCTGGAGAATGGGGGATATTTTATGCTTAAAGCTCAAAATAGTGTTTTGTTATGATTTTCTGATGGAAACTACAGTATAAGATCACAATGGAAGTTCGCCATTTTAGTTGATCGATATTAAAGAGACCCAATATCTTGCATTTGGAAACTATTTCAATATGTATACAATCACAACAATACACAAAGGTTTTCTAATTACCAATTATGTTTTGATACAGAAAACCATAAATTATAAAAGTAGAATGTCTCGTTGGAATGGGTAAATATGACATGAATGTCTCATGTTTATGTCAGTCTACTCAGGGGGTCATGAAAGATTGCATGGTCCTGTTCAAAAAGAAAAATGGGATTCTCGCAGTACTATTTTTTGGTCAGCCAGGTGTCTGACACATGCAGAAGGAAACCCATCACCATGCTTCAGAGTATCCAAACCAAGCTGAGATTTCCATGCATCACACCTACACATGGAAATCCCAGAGGTAGATTGTTTGAATGGAATGTACACTCTCTCCTTGGAGGGACACATCCTGCTCACCTAATTCTGGAAAGTATTAGGCGCAGGTTGGCAAGAGCCAAGGCTTGGGGACCCCAGAGTGTGTGTACATTGGGTACTGCTGGAGTCTAACCAGCTAAAACCACATAGCTTGCCATTGATATTGCTGTCTGGCCAGCTTTCACACTGCTTGTCCAGCGAGGATCACCCTACCCATTAGGGCTTTGGCTTACAAGGTTAAAAGGAGCTGAGTGGGAGGATTCCACGGCCCCAATGACTGCTCTGTCCTTCCAAGTCCTGCTGATGAGCCAGGTTGGCTGTGCTACCACCACAGCCAGCCTGACTGCCTTCTCCCACCTCTGCATTATCGCCCGGCTCCACCAGTGCCTCACCCCTCAGGCCACCGAAACCCTCATCCACACATTTATCACATCTAGACTCGACTACGTCAACTCTCTGCTTGTCGGCCTTCCCAATTTTTCCCTCCACAAGCTTCAGATTATCCAGAACTCTGCAGCTCGTGTCCTCTCCCGCACCAGGTTCCTTGACCCCATCGCCCCCACCATCGCCCGGCTCCACTGGCTCCCCATCCCCCAGAGGGTAGAGTTCAAAATCCTTGTCCTGACTTTCAAGGCCCTCCACAGGCTCCTACCTCTACGACCTGTTGACCTCATATCAACCTGTCCCCTCTGTCTGCTCAGCAGGCTCCGGCCTGCCCCACATCTCCCACCCAAACTGCCCCACCATTTGTGGTCAGGCTTTCAGCCTTTTTGCTCCCATCCTGTGGAACTCCATCCACATTCCCTTTGCATTGCTCCTTCCTTTGATTCCTTCAAGGCGCGTCTCAAAACCTTTCTCTTCGACCGTGCCTTCAGCCACCCTCCTACCCTCACTACCCTCCAACCTCCCCGATCGCCAGCTTGGGTCCAACTCCCTGACTGTCCAGTGCCTTGGGACGTCCTCCTGATGTGAAAGGCGCTATACAAATGTAATTTTGTATTGCATTTTGTGTTATATTAGCAGTGCACTGGAACACTGCGGACCCATCTGACTCAGGAACCATACTACCGAGACTGCCACAAAGAGGTGGCTCGATTCCGACATTCCATTGCCAAGCATGTCACCCTGAAGCCAGTAAAGCTCCAAGGAGACCCTGCTTACCTCCCCCCCTCAACCAAGGAGGATAGTCACCCTGGTACTGACCCATCAACTAATCACCCAACTGCCCCTCCTCTGCCCCCTGCTGGTGGCCACAGACAACTTGTCCCTCTCCTCCAGCACTGTCCTGCTTTGATTCAAAACCACTGTCATTACCCGACTCCTCAAAACAAAAAGACCCTCATTTCATAAGTTATGTGACGATGGAAGCCGGGCCCCGGGCAGGCAGACCAGCTGGGCCAGTGTTTGACCTGGGGCGTTCCTCCCACTCCCCCAATGACAATGTGCTTGGGTGAGGAGGCAGCCCGGGAGGGGTTGAGAGCGGCGTTCATTCTATCGCTCGTTCTGCGTGGTCGGCCTCCACTCAGCTTATTCTCGGCTGAGACCACGAGATTGTTTTTGTGTGGTAACGCTCTCACGCAGGGGGGGTCCAGGATGAGTAGACGGGGCCGAGGGGTTTCTCTAATGATGTGGGACCTGCACACCCCGGTGGTAACAATGTGACTACCTTGTCTGCCTGGCGCCTCACTGTCTCCATTATTCACATGACCAAAGGTATAAGTACTGGGTGTTTGAGACAGGCAGGCACAGATGTACTTTGGAGCAACTTCTAGTAAAACATTGGTCAGCTCATCTGTCCCGCTCAATCCGTAAGTGCTTTTATGTATTATGACTCTGATTTAATTGAAGGCTTTAGGGTGTCGTCAATTGCTTGCTTGTAGCCAATATGTGGTTTGACTGAACTTTTTTGAGTTGTCGTATTTTACTCTTTAATGTGAAGGGGATACTGGTTTTCTCCTCCTGACTCGAAAAGCCCTTTCTCTTCCCACCCCAGCACAGTCACCTGCAGCATATCCTAAGGCTGTATCCTTGTCCCCCTCCTTTTTCTCATATATCCCTCTCGGTGATATCATCTGTAGACAGGGGACCAACTTCCAAATGTTTGCAAATGAAACCAACAAGCAATTTCTCCTCCTCTAGCCACGACCCCAGGTTCAATCATCTTCTGTCCACTTGTTTGTCAGACATTAAGGCCTGGATGAGTGCCAACTTTCTACAGCTGAATTTGGACAAGATAGAAGCCATTCTCCTTGGCTCCTGTCAACGAGTTCTTTCCTGCGACTCCGACCTCCTTAACCTCCCTCAGAAGTACTGAACATGTGTGTAACCTAGGCATCCAGTGCAATCCCAATTGTCCTTCCTACCCCATATCCTGTCCATAACCAGGATTGCTTTCCTCCATTTCTACCACATCGCCTGCCTCCGTCCATACCTTACACAGTTGAAATGCTTATCCACTCAATCAGCATCTTCCTCCTCATCTCACCGCTCTCCCCAGATCCACCATTCTTAAAATCCAACTGATTCAAAACTACGTCGCCCGTGTCCTCAGCCGCACTAAACTCAACTCCCCCATTATTCCAGGCCTTGCCAGACTCCACGGGCTTCCTATTGTGGAGTCCTGTAGCTCAGTGGTTACAGCATTAGCTTTGCAAGCGAGAGACCTGGGTTTGATTCCCAGCAGGGTGAAACCTTGGGCAAGTTTCCTTACTCCACATGTCTGATAATAATCACTCAAGAAAAAAACCAATAGAAATTTGGTCACTCAATCCACGCCTGACATTGCTGTGCGCATTTGGCTGCCGTGTTTCGCCCACAAAAAATATACAGTCAATTCACTTTACAGTATATTCTGTGAAGCGCTTTGAGACGTCTTGAAGATGTGAAAAGTGCTATATCAAATGCAAGGATTACTATTATTATTATTGCAGAACGGATCAATTTCAAGATCTTCACACTCACTTACAAATCAATTGATGTCCTAGCACCTTCTTACCTCTCCTATCTGTTCATGTCCCACTCTTCTACACACACCCTTCACTCAGCTAGGTTTTGCACATTCATCATTCCCTCCGCTCCACAATCTGCGGCCATGCTTTTAAAAACTCTGTAGTTGCCTGACTCAATCCTTCCTGACCCGAGCTGGGGAGGGTGGAGGGGAGGGAGGGTAGCCAAAGCTTTGATCAAAAAGGAGGATTTTGAGATCCGCCTTGGAGGAGACAAGGGAGGGAGCGAGGCAAAGGGAATGAGGGATGGAGTTCCATAGGGTGGAGGCAGAAAGGTTGATGGTGGAACGGCCCGGGCATGGGACGTGGAGCAGGCCACAGCCTACTGAGCAGAGGGAGCAGACAGGTTGTTATGGAGTCAGCAGGTCTCAGAGGTAGGGAGGGACAAGGCCGTGGAGGGCCTTGAAGGCGAGGACAAGTATTTTGAACTCTAACCTCTGGGAGATGGGGAAACAGTGGAGCCAGGCGAGGATGGGTTGATGGGGTCACGGAGTCTGGTGCAGGGAAAGG